GTATTAATATTTGAAGTCATATAAGTCAATAACACAGATCAGATCAAAGAGATAAAGACCAGAAAGACGGCTCTTTGGTCTTTATCTCTTTACTGAGTTTCACTGAAGCGCTGAGTTAAAGAGCTGCGTTTTCAGATGTTTATTAAAAGTGAGCTCTGAGCTCGACTGGCTAATAAAAGCTGAACTGAGCTCCACAGTTTAGAAGCAGAATAACTGAAAGAGTCTCTCCACATTTTCTGTTTTACTGAAGGAGTTCAGAAGGTCAGAATCTGCAGATCTGAGATCATAACAGACAGACGGTCAGGAGCTTTAAGGTCATTTAGAGCTTTAAAAACCAGCAGCAGAGCTTTAAACTCTCTCTAACAGATCCAGGTGGTCAGTGCAGTGTGTAAACGAGGTGATATGAGCTCTCTGTGTTGGTGGTGTTGTTAGGAGTCATGAGTAGAGAAATGTTTTTAACTTGCATTTAAAGGAGAATTCCACCATTTTTTCAAAATTTCAGAAAAATTCAGTCCTTGAAACAAAGTCATTCAGAGGGGTTTGGTGTGAAATAGTTCACTGTAGAGAAACATACAGATTTACAGTGGTGGTGATAGGAACCAGGGGTCGCCATGACTACAACACAGATATAGAAATTTTATTTACTATCCAGAACCACCAGTGAACCTACACGAGTCTTCTGAGTTTATATGGAATGTTGATGATGGAAAATAGTGGAAAATCTGAAATAATAGTTTTCTTTGGGGACTATTTTGCCTCACAGCGCCCTGCATGTATCCCTCCACCATGAATGGAGTTTAAGTTCTCTAAACTATCATTAAACAGTGTCTCAGTCATCAGGCAGTGAATTCATAACCATTTCATGTAGGAACTTTCTGTGAGGAGCTTTTAGAGGTGGACGTCTGGTTCCTATCTCCACCACTGTGAACAGTTCTGACTCGGTAAGTTTATCTAGAACAGAGCGTTTCACACCAAACCACTCTGAACCGCTCTGATTACATCTTACCCACTTAATTAAGGAGAATTTTAGAAAAATCAGTGGAGTTACCCTTCAAAAATCACCATATTCTGAGCTCATCTGAGATCTTCTGACCGTTTGATGTAGCAGCTGAATGCTGTTCAGTGTGGACTCTGAGTTCTGCTGTAATCATATATAATTGAATTCTAACTCCCAAACTGCTGCGTCAGCCTCTCTGTGAGACTCTCCAGCTTCTCCTTTGTGTTTCAGTGAAATATTCATAGCGGCTCTTATTCCTGTAGAATATAATCCAGCTCACGCTGCCCTATTTCAGATCTGCATTTCTCTTCTTGTTGCCTAGCAACCGTCTCCAGCCAGAGGAGAGCCTGGAGTTAAGAGCTGATTCAGTTTCGTGAGAAAAGCTTGTGTGTGATAGAGCGACTCTCGCTCAGCGTCGTCAGGAGGAGCAAAGCGGCTGTGTTTTACAATTAAGACAGAAAAGCAGCTGAACCAACTGTATGAAACACCTTCTCTGCTGTGTGTCCAAGATCCAGCGTCCAGTCATATACAAAACTGACCAGATTCCACATTTAACTGATTTACTGAGTGTAAATAAGTTACTGATCCTCTACAGAGACACACATCTGGACATTTAAATACAGAGTTACTGTTCATTTACTGAATTTAACATGTTAGAACATTAAATGTGGCCTGTGCAAAAAGTGATGACACATTTGTGAGTGTAGAGGATGTCATAACTTTGGTTCACTTACACTCTGAAAAAGATGGTTCTGCAAGGGTTCTTTAGCAAAGAAAATGCTTCTAAAAAGGACCACAAACACCCAAAGAACCTTTTGCATGGTGAAATGGTTCTTTAGATTGATGTGCTGTAGATGGTTCTATATGGAACTTTTTCTGAAAATGGTTCTATACAGCGCCAAAAAGGGTTCTTCTATTGTTACAAGCTTGACATCGTAACAATAGAAAAACCCTTTTAGGTGCTATTTAGAACGCTTTCAAAAGGTTTTTCATCTACAGCACATTCTCCATCAGTGTAAAGAACCATTCCACCATGCAAAGAACCATTTAATCATGCAGAAGGTTTTTGGGTGTTCATGGTTCTTTTTCAAGAGTGCAGAAAATCAAAAAAACGTGCGAGTCTGATCTCGTACCTCCTGCGATCCTTCTCCCCTCCCAGAACAAAGAAACTGATCTGAATGTAAAGAGGAAGAAGGAAAGGAACTGTGGGAAATTATTATCTTCAGAAGAAGTAAAACTAAAGGACAGTAAGCTGGACTGTAGCTGAGCAGTGCTGACCTGCAGTGAGTTTCAGCACTGAATATCATTCTCACTGTGTTAGCGCACCGGCCTCCACTCAGTCAGAGAGCGGTCTGCACATCTACAGCCAGGAATTATGGGATAGATCTATTATAGTAACTGCTGCAGTGAAAACGCCACACCATATAAAGCATCTCACTGTACAGGACCTCACTTACCTTATTAACTCCTTATAACCTCAGGCTTATTACACACTAAGGCTTATTATTCAGTAACTACAGGGACTTCAGTGCAAACTGGCTGAGCTGTTCTTAGATTATAGCAGTGTGTAATAAAGCTTTGGGCTCTGGCGTTTAAGAGGTTAAACTGCAGACTTACTGTTCACTGAACAAGAGTTGCTGAACTAGTAGATACTGTATAAACCATAGAATTATTCAGTATCCACTATGAATTATTCAGTAACTACTGTGAATTATATGAATTATTCAGTATCCACTATGAATTATTCAGTAACTACTATGAATTATTCAGTATCCACTATGAATTATTCAGTAACTACTATGAATTATTCAGTATCCACTATGAATTATTCAGTAACTACTGTGAATTATATGAATTATTCAGTAACCACTATGAATTATTCAGTAACTATTATGAATTATTCAGTATCCACTATGAATTATTCAGTATCCACTATGAATTATTCAGTAACTACTATGAATTATTCAGTATCCACTATGAATTATTCAGTAGCTACTATGAATTATTCAGTATCCACTATGAATTATTCAGTAACTACTATGAATTATTCAGTATCCACTATGAATTATTCAGTAACCACTATGAATTATTCAGTAACTACTATAAATTATTCAGTAACTACTATGAATTATTCAGTATTCACTATGAATTATTCAGTAACCACTATGAATTATTCAGTAACTACTATGAATTATTCAGTATCTACTATGAATTATTCAGTAACCACTATGAATTATTCAGTAACTACTATGAATTATTCAGTATCTACTATGAAATATTCAGTATCTACTATGAATTATTCAGTAACCACTATGAATTATTTAGTACCTACTATAAAGTATTCAGGATCTGCTATTAATTATTCAGTAACCACTATGAATTATTCAGTATCTACTATGAATTATTCAGTAACCACTATGAATTATTTAGTACCTACTATAAAGTATTCAGGATCTGCTATTAATTATTCAGTAACCACTATGAATTATTCAGTAATTTCTTAGAATTGAGGAGGCTGCAGTTGGGACAGTGCAATAAGTCTCGACAGCGAAGCTGGGCTGGAGGACGATGGCTGGCCGCAAGAACCTGCCTGTGAGGACGCCAGAAGGACCAACTGGGTGAACCAGTCTGCTACAAATTTCTTCTTAAACCCACTGACTCACCAGTGTTCTCTTACGTGGGATTTGTTCTTAGGTAAGAGCAGAACCTACACACTTAAGAGCACAAAGGTGAGGACAGTTATGCGCTTTGAGAACACGTCATGAATCTGACGTGAACTTTTTCTTAGGACCTTTCTCAAGAACACACTTAAGAACACACTTTTGGAGAATGAGGCACACTGATCCTATATAGGCCCATGAGCACTCAGAGAACAATTTGAATGCTTAAATGGTTCTTTGCATGGTCAAAAGGTTCTTCTCTATGATGGAAAACCAGCTTTTTTAAGGGTGATACGATAAAATGTATCAGCTTTGACCCTCCGAGGTCTGAGGGAACAGTAGGACAGACTCAGGGCAGGTTTGGCTGAGTGAGAGTTAAATAATCTGGCAGGGCTCGTTCTTAAGATGTTGCCTCAGAGACCCAGAGGACGGCTGAGTGAGCCGGAACGGAGGATCAGCAGGAACAGCCAAGTTATGTGTGTCTCAGCTTTCAGAGGAATTCCTCACTCCTCCTCACTCTGTCCTGCAGTCAGACCCACTCCTCCTCCTCCTCCTCCTCTTCAGCTCTTTCTCTCCTTCTCTTTTCTCTCTCCTTTCTGTCCTCTCTTCCTGCCCCCTCTTCTTTCTCTCCTCTTTCTCTTCTTTTTCTCTCTTTTTTTCTTCTCTTCATACTCCCTCTCTTCCTCTCCGCTCTCTCTCTCTCTCTCTCTCTCTCTCTCTCTCTCTTCTCTCTCTCTCTCTCCTCCTGATCAGGTTCCAGCACATCTGGCGTCTCCATCTGAAAACTCCCAAAACTCACACACACACACACACACACACACACACAAACACACACACACACACACACTCTTCCTGTGTGTCGGCTCTTTCTCACAGTGCACTGTGACATCACACCCCGAATTCTCACGACCTCTAAAGAGTTAAACAGGCCGGACTTCAGTCTGTGTGTGTGTGTGTGTGTGTGTGTGTGTGTATGTGTGTGTGTGTGTGTGTGCATTTCTGGCATGTTGCGTAGATGAAAATCCAGCTGTGCAGGGAGAGAGAAGGGGGGGGGGCTTGTGAGAGAGTGAGAAAGAGTGAGAGAGCGAGAGAGAGAGAGAGAAAGAGCGAGTGAGAGAGAGAGAGAAAGAGTGAGAGAGATAGAGAGAGAGAGAGAGAGAGAGAAAGAGTGAGAGAGATAGAGAGAGAGAGAGAAAGAGTGAGAGAGATAGAGAGAGAGAGAGAGAGAGAGGAGAGAGAGAAAGGGTTTGTGTTCAGTTTAAATGTAAAGGAGTAAAGAAGATCCATCTAAATCAGGTAAATATAAAACATCTGGAGAGAGAGAGAGAGAGAGAGAGAGAGAGAGAGGAATAAATGTGAAAACAGCAGTGAGGAAAAGAAATGCGGGTGCAGGAGTGTGTGTGTGTGTGTGTGTGTGTGTGTGAGAGCAGAAGAAGCAAAACAACAAGAGAAAAGATACTGCCTCCACTCATCCTCTCTCATTCTCTCTCTCTATCTCTCACATTCCTCTCTTTCTCTCTCTCTCTCTCGCTCTCTCTCTGCTCTCTTTCTCAGTTTCTCTCCTTTTCCTCTCTCTCTCTCTCTCTCTCTCCTCCTACTCTCTGTTTTGAGGGGGGGTCTCAGACTCGGTGCTTTCCACTCTGCAGAGTGTTTGTGTGTGTTGAGAGTGTGTATTGTGTGTGTGTGTGTGTTGTGCGAGTGTTCCTCATGTCTCAGTGAGTCTGAGCGTGTGTGTGTGTGTGTGTAGGTGTGTGTGAGAGACCCCTCCTACGCTACGATGGATGGATTACGGCTCCCACCGCTGATAGAGGAGACTCCGGACCCCACAGGTAACACACACACACACACACACACACACACACAAACAGAAACATACACACACACAGACACACACAAACAGAAACATACACACACACAGACACACATAAACACACACACAAAAACACAGCTAGAGGGTAAGAAAGTTCCAGAAAAACAGCAACGCATCTGGAGACAGAAAGAGAGAGAGAGAGAGAGAGAGAGAGAGAGAAAGAGAGAATGGTAGAGGGAGGAAGCGAAAGAGAGAGGAAGAGAGAGAGAGAAAAGAAAGGGAGAGAGATAGAGAGAGAAGAGAGAAGACAAAGAAACACAGACAGAGAAAGAGAGTGAGAAAAACAGAGAGAGGGAGGGGAAAGAGTGTGCAGAGCCTGACTGATACAAAGTGAGTGAGAGAGAGAGAGAGAGTGAGAAAGAGAGGAAGAGAGTGATACAGAGGGTACAGAGCAGAGAGAGAAAGTGGTACAGCAATAAGAATGTCAGAAAAAGAGATAGAGTCGTAGGAGAAATAGAAAGAAGGAGCGAGAGGGGTAGAGGAAGAGAGACGGAGCAAGTAATAAAGAGAGTGACAGGAGAGAGAGAGACCTAGACAGAGACAGAGAGAGAGAGAGGTTCAGTCTGTGTGCAGCTGTTTGGCAGCAGATCTTCTGGTTGTGATGAACTCAAAGCTTTGATCCAGCAGCAGGTAAACAGATCAGCCGAGTGTGTGTGTGTATGCGTGTGTGTGTGTGTGTGCGTGTGTGTGTGTATGTGTGTGTGTGTGATTTGCAGTATTAGTCTCGTGCTGTTAGAAGCTCTTTCACAGGAAGCTCTGAGCTCTGCACTGTGTGATGTTTTTTTTTGTTCGGTCGTCCATTTTGCACCACACACACACACACACACACACACTCAGCGTCACCCACGCTCAGCATGATTCTAATCTGTTACACACTTAAAGAATGCAGTGGTTCTCGTTGGGAGAATGTGGTGGAACACTGTTTTCATTGTGTGCTGATGGTGCTGCGCAGAGTGAACTGTTCTGGACGCCCAGGCTGAGAGAGAGAGGGAGAGAGAGAGAGAGAGAGAGAGAGAGAGAGAGAGGGAGAGAGAGAGAGAGAGAGAGAGAGAGAGAGGAGAGAGAGAGGGAGAGAGAGAGGGAGAGAGAGAGAGAGAGAGAGAGAGAAAGAGAGAGAACAGGAAATAACTCTACCACAATAACTGTGCCAAAGATTTTAGGACTTTACAGTCAGTAGAATAAATGTCTGCGCTAAAGCTGTCAGGCCTTACTTTCATATTCAGTATAATCACTGTGCTCAATGCATGTGCTGAGTGTAAAGCGCTACAGAGTGGTAAGGCTTTACAGTTCAGTGTAATAACTGTGCTAAAGTTGTCAGACTTTGTCATATTCAGCACAATAACTATGCAAAAACGGTCATGTTACTATGCCATAGCAGAATACATCTGCTAAACAAACGTACTAAAGCTGTCAGGCTTATATTCTGTATAATAACTATGCTAAACAGCCGTATTAAAGCTGTGTTTTTCTCTATGTTCAGTTTAGTATCTATGCTAAACAGCTGTGCTAAACTTGTCAGACTTTGTCGTATTCAGCAAAATAATATGCAGAACCAGTGTGTTCCAGTTTTACAGCTTTACGTCATACTCAGTAGAATAAGTCTGCTAAACAACTGTGCTAAAGCTGTTTACATTCAGGAGAAGAACTGTGCTAAATAAATGAGCTAAAGTTGTAAAGTAGCTGCTAGAGTTGTGCCCTGCAGAGAAATCCAGCAAAGACCATAAATTCCATGCTAGTCTAAGCTGGTTTCAGGCTGGTCTAGTGCTGGTCGAGTGCTGGTTTAGCTGGTCACCAAGCATGGTCATGGTGGTTGACCAGCAGACTAGCATCCCTAGCACAACATATGCTAGTCAGGCTTTACTTTTACATTCAGTATGATAACTATGGTAAATAATGAGATAAAGCTGTCAGTCTTTAACTTTGTATTCAGTTTAATAACTGTGCCAAACAACTGTGCTAATAATGTCAGGCAGTTCTCTTCATATTCAGTATAATAACTATGGTAAATAACTGTGCTATAGTTATTGGCTTTACCTTTACATTCAGTAGAGTAACTATGCTAAATAATGTGCTGAAGTTGCCAGACTTTTGTCATATTCAACACAACAACTACGCAAAAACTACTGTGTTACAGTTTTGTGGCTTGACTTCATCCTCACCCAATTAACAAAATTTGTCTGGCCCACATCCTTGGTTTGTTCTGGCCCAGTATATAGCTGGGTCCTCAACCCAGATCTGGCCCACACGCTGTAAAGTGAGTAGAACTTAAGGATTTGGCCCCAGTCTGGCCCAACGACACTGTTGGTCCACAACATTCACACCAGAATTTCCCAGAAATGTAGACATGGGGCAAAACGGTATGAAGCTGCCCAGGATCTGGCCCTGTTCTGGCCCGCATGCCTAACATCTACCTGGCAGTCAACCAACCAACACTCTCAGGCTTTACCTTTACATTCAGTAGAATAACTATGCTAAACAACTGTGCCAAAGCTAGATCTAGGTAGGTAGCAGCATGGTGACATTAGCGTGTTAGCCTCTCAGCGCTGAGGTTGCAGGTCTGATATTGATCAGGTCAGGTATTGAATATTAATTGTAAATACTGGGCTGATCAGGAGAGATTTGCTGAGCGATGTTGGTGAGCTAATGTATAGAATCAGGGGGACGCGCTTCATTTGTATGGGCATGAATGGGAGGTGGAGTTAAAGGTGCATTATATGATTCTGGAGATATGATATTTGAACTCAAAAGCAAAACAAATACACCCAGTGCTCCTTCAGAAGCTCCATCCACCGAATTCATGGAAGCATATTGCCAAGGCGAACGGCACTGAGCTAGCAAACTTGTTTTTTTTTAGATCTTCATGACCATAAATCCCTTTACAAACTTTGTATGGACAAACAGCACTGTTTAATGCAAAAACTTACACCACCAAATCACCACCAGGGGTCTTATTTAGCACCAATCCAGCGGTGCCCTCTTCTTACACTGGGGCTGAATCTCAAACGGCTCCCTGCTCCCTACATAGTGCACTACAGGAGTTTAAATACTGGATCCTGCAGCCCAACAGAGCAAAATACAGCTGAGAAACAGTCATTTGGGACTCAGACTCATCCACACTCGATACATGATGCACTGTTTGGCTGTAGAGGCTGGAATCTCTAAACTTTCATAGCTAGAACACTATTTAGGGAGTACGGAACCGTTTGGGATTCAGTCTGGGTTTGACGCGGCTTCTGACTGAAACACGGAGATTTGAAGTGTGTAAAACATTCAAGTGACATTTTTAGACTTTTATACTGCAGCTTTACAGTGAATCAGACCATAAGTGCTTTAATTCAAGCTGTGATATTAATGATGGAGCTGTTTAGCATGTTGGCTCTTTTAGCCTGTTAGCTAGCTGAGCAGCCCAGTTCTAGATAAGAAAATAAGTCGTCAGCCCCTCAGTTTAAACAAAAAACAGGTTCTTACTTCATCAGTAGACTCGGTGCCCCATGCGAACAGCATTAGAGTCACAGATTATTCATTAACAGCACACGGATTTTTTTTCGTTAAGTGGTGCCGTGATAGAGTTCAGTTGTTGTGAGGCGGTCATAGGAGTGGTATATCATGGATTTTACAACGGCTTTGAATAGCCAATCAGATTTTAGGACCAGAACTATCCGTTTTATAATTGACAGTATTTTGGCTGTTTTCATACATTTTCAAATAGATTTGATAAACACATTTACATACATTTATTTTTGTTTGGTACATTGCTATGTGTAATATTTCTCCATATGTTTTAAAATAAATGTATTTGAAAATATATTTGGTTAATATGGCAAAATATCCTGAAACAGTGTTTGGAACGTAATTTGATGTGGGTTGCGATGTATTTAAATGTATTTCAAATATATAAAAAGATATATGTCCATATATTTGTCCCATATGGGCCAGTAGCTGCTCACACTGCAGTCTGAGGTAGATGGACGTCAGTTCAGAGGTACAGAACCTGATCTGCTCAGTTATCGTGCTGAACTGCTGCCTAGGGCCTGAACATCACCAGCCTTCCTGAAACTGTTTGTCTCAATACTGATGAACCAATCACAGACATTATTTGCATACAGTTAATGAAGTTAATAAGAAACGCTGTCGTGTGAAAATGCCTGGATTCTCAGACAGTTTGTATCCAGAATCAGGACAGATATTAAAACTGTAAGACTGAGGTGTCGTCAGCGTTCAGTCTCAAAAGTCACTTTGTTCGTGTGTGTGTGTGTGTGTGTGTGTGTGTGTGTGTGTGTGTGTGTGAGATTAAATCTCCAGACATGTTGATTCCAGACTGATGTACAGGTGATGTGATGTGAGTGACGCACACAGGACACATATTTCTCACATAGGATACAGTCAGTGATAGTAAACACAGAATGTGTGAGACTGGACAGCACATACACACACACACACACACACACACACACACACACACACACACACACACATCCAGCTTGTCTCTATTTTATTTACGTCTTCTTTATTTATATGTATTTTATTTATATGACTCTTTCCTCAAAACGATGCTTTTCATTTATTTTTTTAATTCAGTCTCTCTTTCATCTTCCTCTATCTCTCTCTCACTTTTCTCTTTCTCTCTTTCATTCTCACTTTCTCTCTCCTTCTCCCCCTCACTTTCCCCCCTGCTTCTGCTCTCTCTAACCCTCTCTGTCTTATTCCTCTCTTGCTTTATCCTTCTGTCTCTCTCTCTCTCTCTCTCTCTCTCTCTCTCTCTCTCTCTCTCTCTTTCCTCTCTCTCACTCCTCTTCACTTTCACTGTCTCTGTACAACAGGCCCTCCTACGCGCACACACACACACACACACACACGCTGCTCTGGTGGTGATGAGGCTGCAGGTGTTAATTCTTCACCATATGTGGGAAATTCCTCGCTTCTGTGCCGCTTCCTATTTTACATTATGAGACGAAGCTA